AGAATATTGAAGCCTCAGAATAATGAAAGAGAGGAAGCATGAAAACCCTCCAGGTTGTGTCTGTCTGAGTGACCAGATTTTTGTAAAAGTTAAGGAAATAACTCTTAATTTACAAGGCAACCCCCCCCCCCCCCCCCCCCCCCCCCCCACACACACACACTTAAAAAAAAATTTCAAATAAATTTATATCGTTGAAAAAAATTTCAAAACCAAGCGAAGTGATTAAGAATTTGCCCATTATAGTTTGAAAGGTTTTTTTAAACTAACTAATTGATTTGGGGCTCAAACTAATCGTTTGGGAAAACTTTTTTGAACCTGACAATCATTTGGATAAGTAAGCCAATCAATTGGAGAGAGCCTAAATGATTAACCAAATGATTAGGACAACACATTAATGAATTCTTACGACTCTCTATCAAATATTTCCATATTGACCAAGGAAATTGATTAAAAACTGGCTATATGATCGATTAGGTCTTAATCCAATTGATTGACTCATCAATTATGCTCATGAATTATTTCCTTTTCTGATTTTTTTTCCAACTCTTATATAAAGGATGCTTGCATCCTCTTAATTTCATGCCACTTTTCAAAGCTTTATATTTTTTTGAATTTATTTTTGTACTTTTTATCCTTCTCTCTAGAAATATTTCTTTGTCACTTAAGTTGCCTTATTCCTTTTGAGTGAAACTTTGCTTGTGAGGAAGATTTTTGTAAGTGGTCATGCTGGTTGTTTAATTCTTGAGAGTATGATACTCTTGGGAGATTGAGTTTGGTTCATGAGATAAACCATTCATAAAATATTTGTTTTGATTTCTAGAACTTTGGTGGAAAAAGTATTGTTTTTGTTATTGAGATCAATCCGAAAATCTCTATTAAGGTCTGTTAGCATAGCCTGTAGTAAAATCTATTATTGTTTGGGCATAAGCCTGTAAAAGTCTAAATATCATGTTTTATTAAGGTTCATGGTCATAACCTATAAAAGCTCAAAGTTTATAGTTAAAGTATCAAGAAGATCTCTTAAGGACATGACTAGGCCAACATTCATCCAAACATGGATAAACCTTTGGTGCAATCTCTCTAACCCTTAGCCTCTTTAAATTATTCTATTTATTTTACTTTTTTAAGTCCAATTCTATTCACTATATCCTTAAGATATTAGTAACAAAACTACTAAATCAATCGAAAATTTTCATGATGTATTCCATATTTCACAGCTTCGGAAGTATGTTACAGATCCGTCGCATGTAATTCTGATGGATGATGTTCAAGTAAGGGATAACCTTACAGTTGAGGCTTTGCCTGTGTGAATTAAGGACCGTGAGGTGAAGTAGTTGAGAGACAAAGAGATTTCTCTCGCGAAGGTGGTATGGGGAGGCGCTGCTGGTGGAAGTATGACTTGGGGGTTGGAGAGCAGGATACTTGAGTTGTTCGCATTAGGTAAATTTTTAAGGAAGAAAATATTCTAAGTGGAGGAGAGTTGTAACACCCCGACTTATTTTATTTATTTTTCCGTATTTTATTTATGTGATAATGGTGGTTGTGTTGCGCTTTGATGTGTTGAACTACCTTAGTGTGGGGCAGTGGGCTTAAGAGTAAACTTTAAGGGTTGAAAGGTGTATGACTAATTGTGTAGAACTTGGTGATGTGGTGAGAATGACTAATTAAATTATATTATTGATATATAGTTAATTATAATATTAGTTGAATATTATTAAATTTCATAATTATTGATTATTATTATTATTATTATTTTAATTAGAAAGAGAATAATATTAGTAATAATAAGAAGGGAAGTTGGGGGAGAAAAGTTGTCAGAACGTGTTTTGGAGGAAAAGAGAAAGAAGAGGCTAGGGTATAAGAAAGAGAGAAGGCTCCATTGTTGTGAAGTTTTTTGGCAAGAACTCTAAGGTAAGAGTGGGGTTCTAATTGTCTAAGGGTTACCATGATGATGGTGGATAGATTATGTCATGTATGGTTTGTGTTTTTCTTCTCTTTGTTCATAATTTTGATGAATTGGTAATTGTTGGATTCGATGAATTTTTTTATGAATGTTGTATGTGGTATATTATTGTTGTGACTGATGTTAGAATGATGCATTGTTGCAATTGTTGTTGTTGAAAATCATATGATTGATGAATTGTATGATGTTGATGTTGTTTGTTGTATGTAATCGAGAGTCGAAACTCAGGTTATGGATATTTTTGGGGAAAATAATTGAGGTTTTGATGTTTATGAAAACTGATTTTTGAGTAAAATTATGTGTTACACAAATTGTATGAAAAGTGGGATTTTGGGGTGTGTCAAAAAATGCTTTTCGTACTGATAATCAGTAGAAAAGTGCTATTGTTGCAGGTGTAATTGGTTACCAGAAATGGGGTAAGCAGTTACATTGTAGAAAAATGGTGTTTTTGGGTAAATTTGTGAGGGTGTAATCGGTTACCCTGATTGTGGTAACCGGTTACACTGCGAGTATTTTCCGTGGCAGTAGTTGGTTACAAGGGGTGTAACCGGTTACCTCATTTTGAGTAACCGGTTACAGTGGGACCATTTTAAAAAAAATTCTAAAATTCCTAACTTTTGTTCTGGATGTCCGATTCGAGTGTCGTTCGAAGCGTTAGAAAGCTGACCCGATAAAATTTAATCTAAAAATGGTTTTGGTGCCATAAGTGGAATAATTTTGTTGTATGATGGTGTTGAGCACATTATTATTGTTATGTGGTGTTGTGAGCATAATTATAAATGCCTTGTAGTTTCTTATTATGTTGTATATCAATGTTATTGGATGTATAACATGTTATGGTATAATGGCATGATGCTTTAATTAGATGAAGGTCGTCGTCTTTGTTGTTTTTATCATGCATTTCATGATTTCACGAGTTATGAGATTAGTCGTATGCCCATGTGGGGTGTGATTGTCTTATCCAGATTCTAGTTATAGAATTGTGTTGTTGTTGTTGTTGCTGTTGTTGAGGTGATCGTATGTCCATATGGGGTGTGAGCGATCATGGAAGTTGCGTGCCCGTGTGGGGTGTGAGCGACGTAATGGAAATTTCGGCAGGAATTATGATTCTGAAATAGAATCGAGTTCTGAAATAAGAACTGAATGGTACCACATGTGTTGAGTCAAATTGTGAGTCTAATGCATTGCATATTGGTTATATTTGTTGTTGTGTTTGGATTTTGGTTGTGTTGGTTGTGTGGTGTATGTTATGGAATGGATGATGTGCATGTGATAATCTAATGCTTACTTATTATCATGTTTTTCTATATATAATTATGATAGCTCGCCCATTCTGTTTGAATGTTGCATTTAGATGGGCATCGTTCAGATAACTCACAGTAGAGGAGTTGATGTGAGTGGAAGATGCAGTCTTCCGTTTTACTTTTAGTGTCGGTGTTTGCTCTGATGTGTAACACCGGGGTTATGGAACGTTATATTTTGGTGGAGATTTTTGGATATCTCTATAATTGTCGTTGTTTATGTTTATTTTGAAAAAATAGTATGCTCTGAATAATTATTTGATAATGATTGTTTCCGCTGCTTTAATAAAGTTGATTTTCATACATGATTTATGATTAGTATTATTATTAATAATTTTTAAATTTTTGTGTGTTACACATTATGCTATATGAGCCGTGTTTGTTGTAAGTAGCATCCTAAAAATAATGTCTGTGATGAATTTTACTCTGATTCTTATTTAAATTACATGGTGTTTATTTAGGGTGTTACAAATACTATTGAGAAAGGCCATGAATTCGAACTCAGGCCTGAGTAGAAGTGTAGTTAACATTGTTAGGAACAAAATCTCTCGTCCAAGGGATTAACTTCAATACACTCGGGATAAAATTCTAAGAAGATATGGAGCGAACACACTTAACATCCTCAAGATTTGAGAAAGAGAACTAAAAAAACCCTTATCAAGCGAAGTGATGCCCCATTTCGATAGTGAACTCTAAAGTTTCTCCAACTTCGTTCTCAATTGAACCATGGTTAATGGTGAGGAACCTTTAGGCCAGAAGATCCTTCCATGTAAGTTATGCTTACATGAGTCAAGCCCAATGAGACATTCATCCTTTGGAAACGTGATGGAAAGCTTACCCCCTTAACACAAGGAGTTGGGAGTTGACTAGTTGGATTTACTACAAAGCTTCTCTTTAGAAATCTAGTTAGATCTAGATTTACTCTCATTTTAAAGTTGGATATCTATAACCATGTTTTTTTGTAAATTAATTAAATAAGAGATCAAAACGATAATTAAACTAAAAATTAAATAATTAAAATAATTAAATTCCATTAAAAATAGAAATTAAACAAAATTTTAAAATATTTAAGTGATAAGATCAAATTAAATGTGTAATTTAATAAAATATTTATGTCAGATAAAAAATAATTTAAAAAAAAATAAAAATTTTAGAAATGCATTAATTTACAATAAATTAATTTTGAGAAAAATATTTTATTTTCCTTTTATACAATAACCAATAAAGGAGTACTCCTCTATTTCATAAAAATGGTTCAATTTAAGTTATACAACTCTTAACAAAATAACCCGATGTATTAATTTAAATAATTAAATTAATGTCATTTATACAAATAAAATTAGTAAGTCTAGTTACTTAAATAATTGATTTCGAGTGACAATTAATATATTAGAATACTTTTATAATAGCTAAAAAAAGTTAAATATGAGTTCATATTGTAAGGAAGCAATTTTAATTTTAAGACAAAAACAGACTAGTATGCATTATTCACCAAAGGCGCATGGCCTATTTTTACCAGTGAGTTACGTGGCAGTAATTCTCAACCAATCACATCGACACACGTCTCACCCCACACCCATTTCCTATATAAACCATCCCCGATCTTCTCTCGTTCCACCATATCACGACCTCTCCTATTTCTTCTCTTCTTTCTCCTTTTCTCTCCTCGCGCGATTTCGGGTTGGGTCCTACATTTCTGGAGCCATCTTCGAAATCATCCGCCGACCGAGAGAAAAATGACAGGATCCCTATTTTCAAGATTAATCCTCCGCCGATCTTCCCAGCATAACCGATTCATCTGGCAACGAGGCATTTCGCAGTCGGCAGCGGAGAGGACGAAAGATTCCCTTCCCGCGGAACCACCTGTATTGCCGGCGTTTGATCACGTACCATCTCCGTACTCCGGTCCTTCCGGTGATGATATCATTGCGAAACGTAGGGAGTATCTTAGCCCTTCAATCTTCCATTCCTACAAATCTCCGGTGAGGCTCCACCACACCGGATAACGATAATTCCTTGTTAATAATAATTATAACCCTCGACAATTAACTACACTTTAATTATTTTATTATTAACGGTAAATAAAATTAATGACTTAAATGAAAACTAATTAATGATTACTTGTTTTTGATGGAATTTGATTGTGTTTGGGAGGTTACAGTTGAACGTGGTGGAAGGGAAGAGACAGTACCTTTTTGATGAAAACGGGAGGAGGTACCTTGATGCGTTCGGAGGGATTGCTACGGTGTGCTGCGGGCACTGCCACCCTGATGTAGTCGCAGCAATCGTTGAACAAACCAAAAAGTTACAGCACTCAACGATTTTGTATCTGAATCATGCCATTACTGATTTTGCTGAAGCTTTGGCTTCTAAACTTCCCGGTAATCTTAAGGTGCGTTTTTCTTTCAACGTCACTTTTTTTCGTATTGTTATTTAAATTAGTATATTTTCTTTCATGAAATATAATTTATTATGTTTTTAAAAATATTAACATTCTGTCAAATAGACGTAATCAGAAATCACATTTGAATGTTATGATTGCTTAAGTTCCGGTTGATTAATTAAAATTTTATTTTTTTAACAATTCTTTTTAATATTTATAAAACAAATTCTCTAAAAAAATATATTTTAAAGGTTACAATTACGTTTTCTTTTATTTTGAGAAAAAAAACTAAAATTACTAATCCTTTTTATGAGTGTGAGATGTTTTTTTTCTACTTATATGTTATGAGAACGATAGGAGTAGCTTTTACTCATCTAAATTAAAATATATAAATATTTTAGATTTTATATAAATTCAAATAATGTTTCATTTAAACATGTTCTTACTCTTTTATTTTTCATTTATACACACAAATTGGGATTAAAATAAATTGATATTTTAAATTTAAAAATTGAATCAAATATATAAATAATTTAATTCATAAATGAAAATGGAAAATAATTATTAGAATAATTTTTTTAAAAAAAATTTGTCAAATAATTTAGTAGCTAAAATATTATCATTTAAAATTAAATAAATTCAAAATAAGTTGGCTTAATCATTTGGGAGAGTACCTTTATTATAAATTATTTTAAAATTTTAATTTATTTTAATATAAAATAAAAAAAAAATGTGTTCCCCTTATTTTAAACTACTCTATATGTATGGATGCAGCGCTGGCATGGATTATATCGATCCTTGTCTGTTGTCCATATCAAACAACAAAACCATGGGTCACCTAATAATTCACACGAGAAACCAAACTATCTATTTAAATACGTTAAAATTTTACGTCTAAAAACACTCAACCCAAACACATCTTTTATCACAGATTCTTAAATATCCAAATTGATTAATGGGAGACAAAAATACATGCTTTATCTTTTATTTATACACAATTATTGTGATGATAAGGTTTCAAGAGTCACTAGTCAAGAGTGTAATATAGAAGGAATGAAAGTTGAAACGATGTAATACTGACTTACAAGAAATTGCTTATTTGATATATTTTATCTGCGTGTGCGTATAAACTATTGTTTTTGTTTCTTGCTAATTTTTAGTGGGAAAACCTTGCGTCTATTATACATGTAGGTGGCATTTTTTACCAACTCTGGAACAGAAGCAAACGAATTGGCAATGCTGATAGCAAGGTTGTACACTGGATGCAATGACATAATTTCAATTAGAAATTCTTACCATGGAAATGCTAGTGCGACAATGGGGGCCACAGCTCAAAGTATCTGGAAATTTAAAGTCGTACAGGTATGGAAAAATTCATTGTTAATATAGAAAAATGAAGCTAAATTGCATCTGTTAAATATGTTACATACATAGCTATTAGAGTACTTGTTGTCTAAAATTGTACAAAAATATACGTATACTTTTATAATTATACACCATGTTTAACTTATAGTAACGATAGTTATTTGGCTAGTGGAATGGACTAACACGTCTAGGTAGCTGACGCAGACTTTCACTAAACTTTATATGTAATGTGTGTGTGATCGCAACAGCAACGGAGTTTGGCATCGTTGGACACATTTCTATCAACTATGAAAGTGACCGCTTTGTTATCTGTATTATTTAAAATAGGAACATACTGTGGAAACTAAGTTGGTTCAGATAAGTTTCTAAAGTCTCAGGATAATGATTTATTATGATAATGAAAGTGTGGACCCCTCTTGAGCAAATAATCTTACAATTATGTCATTATGTGCTTTCTTATTCAGTATGGCCCAAAATTATTATTTTTCTCATTAAGGTAGTGTATTTTACTTGTTGCTAATTCCCATGTGAGTTCTTCACATGCAAATGCAAACTTGTGTATTGTTTTTTTTTCTTTCTCTTTTTCTATGTTCCTTCCCATTTCAAGCACCAATTCTTTCAACAGTGTTTGCTACTTTGCTCAACAGTTTTTCCTTTTTGTTGTTACTTTGTGTACCACCAGACTGGTGTTCATCATGCTGTTAATCCAGATCCTTACAGAGGTATTTTTGGCTCTGATGGAGAGAAGTATGCAAGAGATGTCCAAGATATCATTAACTTTGGAACTTTCGGAAATGTTGCTGCATTCATGTCTGAATCTATACAGGTATACATCTAAGTGAAGCATATATGAGTTCAATCTCAATCATGTCTTTATGGAAGAAAAAAAAAGAAGTTTTAGATATAAACCATGCGCATCATTATTCATTAGATCATGTTTTTAAATTGTGGTTGTAACTGTTGCAGATACTGCCAAATCCTTAATATTTAGATAATAGACCTCAAAATTGCCTAATAATACTAGTAGTATAAACTGAGGTATCATATAGTAAATCTGTATGGTATGACTTCAATCCAAAATGAACTGGTAATGTAATGCTCTTGTTGTTTATGTTAGGGAGTGGGGGGCATTGTTGAATTGGCACCTGGTTACTTGTCTGCTGCCTATGATAGTGTTAAAAAAGCTGGAGGTCTTTGTATTGCTGACGAGGTTCAAGCTGGATTTGGTCGCACTGGTAGCCATTTCTGGGGATTTGAAGCCCATGGTGTTCAACCTGATATAGTAACAATGGCAAAGGTAGTTCATCTCTCTGTCAAAGTTGAATTGAATGAGACAACCTTTACTTAATTTAGCAAACAGAACAGCCTAACTGTCTGCGCCAACAAAATATTTTCCTTGCCTGGTCATGAGAGTGATGTATAGTTTATACGCCATAATTGATACTTATATCCAAGATTTTCTTTTATCTTAAAAAAAAGTATGCAACCATGATTTGATCTGCGACATTGATGATTTTGGTATCTCTGCAATCACAATTGTGGCTTTATTTGACAGCGGTTCTCTAAAATATCAAGAATTGCAATACATTAGTGATAGTGACTGAAATTTAGAACCGTGCATATATCCATGTCTGCACACACAATACGTACTGATAGCCATTTCTGGGGATTTGAAGCCCATGGTGTTCAACCTGATATAGTAACAATGGCAAAGGTAGTTCATCTCTCTGTCAAAGTTGAATTGAATGAGACAACCTTTACTTAATTTAGCAAACAGAACAGCCTAACTGTCTGCGCCAACAAAATATTTTCCTTGCCTGGTCATGAGAGTGATGTATAGTTTATACGCCATAATTGATACTTATATCCAAGATTTTCTTTTATCTTAAAAAAAGTATGCAACCATGATTTGATCTGCGACATTGATGATTTTGGTATCTCTGCAATCACAATTGTGGCTTTATTTGACAGCGGTTCTCTAAAATATCAAGAATTGCAATACATTAGTGATAGTGACTGAAATTTAGAACCGTGCATATATCCATGTCTGCACACACAATACGTATGCTTTGTCAAGTATCTATGCTCATCGTTGTTGGTTTGTTTTCTTGATTTTTTGTTTGGCAGGGTATTGGAAATGGCATTCCTCTCGGTGCTGTTGTAACTACTCCTGAGATCGCAAAGGCCTTGACCCACAGAAATTACTTTAACACCTTTGGTGGAAACCCTGTTTGTACAGCTGCAGGATTGGCTGTTTTAAATGTAATAGAGAAGGAAAAGCTTCAAGAAAATGCATTTGTAGTGGGATCCCATTTGAAAGAGAGGCTTAATGCCCTCAAGGACAAATATGAAAGTAAGGTTTCATCATGAATTCATTCTAGAGTGTTATAGTGAAAAATGACTATAGCTGAGACAGATTATGGTTACACAAGAATCAGAATTTTTTCCTTATATATGTTTCTAATCAATTTTTTATTTTATTTTCTACTATAGTAATTGGTGATGTGAGAGGAAAAGGATTCATGCTTGGAGTTGAACTTGTCACTGACCGTGAACTGAAAACACCAGCAAAAAAAGAAACCCTGCATGTGATGGAACAATTGAAAGGTAAAGTCTCAAATCTCAATCTCGATAAGCTAAGTTGTCCCGGAGTTCCTGCAGCATTTGTAATAATCTAGCCATATTTTTTATCTGTTTTCTGTGTGACTAATCGGCTTTTATGCTGTTACGGCAGATTTAGGAGTGCTGGTTGGAAAAGGTGGCTATTATGGAAATGTATTCAGAATTACACCTCCCTTATGTTTCAGCAAAGAAGATGCAGGTTAGTTTCTAATTCTCTCTTTTGTTAACATTCGATAAATTAATACTACTAGCCTTAACTTTATTACTTACAGCTTTTTATTTTTGTGTTTGCAGATTTCCTTGTGGATGCCATGGACTACAGCTTATCTAGAATTTGATCTGTGAAAGCTTAAATAAGATGCAGTGTAAATAAATGTCAATAATGTTTTATGATGTTAACTTAAACTCTATTAGATTATCATCAATCTCGACTCTAGCAAGTAAAATTTATAAATTTTTCATGCAGATTTTAGACCCACACATAATTGCAAAACCGCCTTGGTGGAAAATGAATGAGCCAACAATTCGTTGTCTCTTGGTTATCTTTTCTTGTCCCATATTGTCTGCTGTTCTTTTATTTTTCATGCATCTGCGAACTCTCGCATTTCTTCCTTTTCGTCATATTATATCTCTTTTAAAAAAAACATACTATTTCTCTAGTTAAGTTATTGTCGATTCTACACTATTGAAAGCTGAAACTAGAATTTCATTTTGAGCAATTGGAGGCTTAATTCTGTGCTTCTAGACTCTGCACTATCTGAAGAAGTATTAGATCTTGATGAAATAACCAGATGCAGGACTCAAGTCTGTAAAATGCTGATTTAAGAACAAAAATCAGCTATTTTATATGGATAAGGAAAAAGAAGGGGTACTCGCTAGCTTTATTGAGGACACCATCTTTGTGTTAGTGTAATATCCTCATTTGCAACTTTCCACTAAACAATGATATTTACTTAATATCACTGAAACTCCATGTTAAAGGCGCGCTTGAGTGTACGACACGTGTCGGTGTCAGACACTCATACGAAATCGAAACATGTATTATATTCAATTTTTCCATATTTTTTTATTCAATTATTAATAACATTTAGATGTCAATGCCAATGCTTCATACCAACAATGTTGGCGTTATCGTTACTATATATTGAATTATGTTATGAATTGAAACTGTTGTAAAATATTTCACTGATGGAATTAAAAGTTCTGCTTACAATGTTGCAACTACATGCTTTAAATAAGAGAGAATAGAAAACCTAATGGGTTTTGACTAATGGACCTCATTACTAATACTACTAATTACTATTTACAGTCTAATATTTACAACACTCCCCCTCAAGCTGGTGAATGGATATCTATCATTCCCAGCTTGCAAGTAAGTTGCCTGAATCTTTCTGTTGGTAAGCCTTTTGTTAACACATCTGCGAGCTGATGCCCAGAAGGACCGTAAGATGTAGTTATCAACCCACTATCCAACTTCTCTTTGATAAAATGTCGGTCAATCTTAATGTGTTTAGTCCTGTCATGCTGAACAGGGTTATGAGCAATACTAATAGCCGATTTATTGTCACAACAATTCCATAGGGCCTTCACACTGTATCTTCAAGTCTTCTAGAACTTGTTTCATCCATAATAGTTCACAAATTCCTAGTGCCATAGTTCTAAATTCTGCCTCGGCGCTTGATCGAGCAACTATACTTTGCTTCTTACTCTTCCAAGCTATAAGGTTACTGTAACACCCCCTTCTATAACCCCCAAATAAAATAATAATATAAAGGCACATATAAATTTTATCAGAGTATGATTTAAAATACGGCATAGAAGAAGTATGCCACATTATTACCAATAAAACACTCAACACCTGTTCTATAAAAAATATGCAACAGTGGGATAGTTTTCAAAGTAAAGGAACTTAGTCCTTAAACCCACGTCTCAATATTTAAAATTAAAGCGGAAGAATAAAACATTTGAATTACTTCAAAATATTTGATCACATAAATACATGTTATCCAGTTGTTCATCAATCATTCATGTTACAAAACATCATCAACTGATACATCACAAATGTATCACAAAAGAATGCTATACACGCCTAACTACCCGGTGTTACATAATCAGAGCAGTCCGAATCAAAAGAATGAAGCTATACTTCACAAAAGAAACCTCCAGCAACCTAATCTGCAATGCCTCATAGAGCATTGTAAAACAGCAGAAGGGTGAGAAATATTACCATAATAATCAATGCATAAGATTATATATATGTATACAAGTAACAATTACATATAATCCACATTTCTCACCGCAATTCATTCATAGCTCATCATACATTTCACGACATGTATAAATACATATGAATAATAATATAGCACATTTCATCATGCACCAATCCATCATTCACAACTCACCAATTTACCAATTCACACATACATAATTCATATAACAATGACATCAATGCTATGTGACTCAATCACGACTCAATGCAACTCAATGCTATGTGGTACCAACACTTGTTTCCCATGCATTACATACATTAGCATACCACAATATGCATTCACATACTTATTAGACAATACACACATATTCACTAATATGTTCTCATGCATCCCTAATCAATCCAAACAATACACATATCACGATCTAGGATTCACGCCCAAAGGCTACCCACAACTCATCACAATAGTACACAAACTATTCATATCACATAGGATTAACATAATTGAACCAAGCAATTAATCATTGGATAAATAAAACAGAAAAGAAACAATGCTGTCATGCTCGCCACCCTTCGCCTGGCGAAGCCATTAGCGAATGCTCGCTGGGGAACTCGCCAGCGAACAAAAGTCAGTATCTACTGACTTGATTCGCTACCCTTCACTGATGTACTCGCCTGGCGAACCTTCGCCACTCACCTTCGCTTGGCGAACTTGCCAGCGAAGACCACTGGGAGTTTTCTTGAATTATTCGCCAGCTATTCGCTGGGCTTCGCCCGGCGAAGCTTCGCCTTCACTCGCCTGGCGAGAGCCAGCGAACCTGCGATATCAGAACCCTCATTCTGTCCCAAAACTTCTACCTTCCAAAAATTGACCGATTCTCACCAAACCAGTTCCAGTAATCTTAACCCCACATCACCCGACTATTCTACGACATTATTTCCAGTTTCTAACCGATTAAACTACGATTCTACCGATTAAATCCATTTTGCCCTAGCTTGAAAAATGGTGGAAACTCACAACAAAACCCAACCCACGCATACATAACCACATACATTGACTAGATAATAATGTTTCTCACCCTTACCTTGATTGGATTGAAGCTTGAAGTTGATTTTTGATGATTTCTCCAAGTTTCCCTCTTCTCTTCTCTTTTCTCCTCTTTCTCTATTCTTTCTCTTCTATTTTCTTTCTATCCAATTCTTTCCACTTATCCCTTATATACTTCTATTATTTTCTTTCCTTCCCATTTCTCTCTTCAATTATCTAACAAATAAATCCAATTAATCCAAATCAATAAGATTAATTCCAATAAATCAATTAATTAACATAATTAATTAATGAATGAAATTTGGGCTATCCTCTGCAAAATCTGATAAGGACCAATGAAACGCGGCGTCAACTTACGCGACTTCAATGCCCTACCAACACTAGTCATTGGAGTAACCCAAAGAAACACATGATCTCCCTTTTGAAATTCAAGTGCCTTCCTCCTCTTGTCATGATAATTCTTCTGACGACTTTGAGAAATCCTCATCTTTTCTTGAATCATCTTAATCTTGTCCGTAGTCTGCTGAACTATCTCGGGTCCAACTACAAAACTCTCTCCGGACTCATACCAACACAGTGGCGTCCTACACCGCCTACCATACAATGCTTCGAACGGTGTCATACCAATGCTCGAATGAAAACTGTTGTTGTAAGTAAATTCAATCAAAGACAAGTAGTTATCCCAAGCTCCTCCTTTCTCCAATACACAAGCTCTCAAAAGATCCTCAAGTGATTGAATAGTTCTTTCAGTCTGACCATCTGTCTGAGGATGATAAGCTGAACTCAAACGCAACTTCGTACCCAAAGCACTTTGCAAGCTCTCCCAAAATCTCGAAGTAAACCTCGGATCCCTATCTGACACAATACTAGACGGAATACCATGCAAACTGACAATCCTCTCGATGTATAGCTTTGCCAATTTCTCCAACGTATAATCCATTCGCATAGGAATAAAGTGAGCAGATTTAGTCAATCTATCCACAATAACCCAAATAGCTTCAAAATTACCCGGCGTCCTAGGTAATCCAGACACAAAGTCCATAGAAATGCTATCCCATTTCCACTCAGGAATAAACAACAGTTGCATCAAACCCGACATTTTCTGATGCTCAATCTTCGACTTCTGGCAAGTCAAACAAGAATACACAAATTCGGCAATATCCTTCTTCATACAAGGCCACCAAAATATTTTCCTCAAATCTTGATACATCTTAGTAGCACCCGGATGAATACTCAATCTGCTACGATGTCCTTCCTCAAGAATACTCTTTTTCAGTTCATCAAGATCCAGGACACAAACTCTATCCCGACACCTCATAATACCATTCTCGTCAATCCGAAAATCACCACCTTGGCCTTGGTTGATCAAAGTCAACCGGTCAACTAAACTCAAATCGGATTTCTGTCCTTCTCGAATTTCGTCCAGAATACCACTCGTAAGCTTCAACATTCCAAGCTTAACCCCATAAGAAGTCTCCTCACACACCAAACTGAAATCACAAAATTGCTCAATCAATTCCAACTCTTTCACCATCATCATCGACATGTGCAACGATTTACGACTCAACGCATCCGCTACCACATTCGCTTTACCCGAGTGGTAATTCAACCCAAAATCATAATCCTTCAAAAGCTCTAACCACCTTCTTTGCCTAGCATTCAATTCCTTTTGATCAAAGAGATACTTCAAACTCTTGTGATCACTAAACACTTCAAATCTCGCACCAAACAAATAATGCCTCCAAAGTTTAAGCACAAACACAACGGCGGCCAACTCTAAGTCATGCGTCGGATAATTCTTCTCATGAACTTTGAGTTGCCTCGAAGCATAGGCTACAACTTGATTATTCTGCATCAACACACCTCCCAAGCCCATCAAAGAAGCATCACAATACACAACAAACGGCTCTTCCGGATTTGGCAAAATCAGAACAGGGGTTGTCGTCAATCTTCTCTTAAGTTCCTGAAAATTCTCTTCACACTTGGCATCCCAAACAAAAGCTTGACCCTTCCTAGTCAATTGCGTCAACGGTAACGATAACTTAGCAAATCCTTCAATAAACTTACGATAATAACCCGCT